CGGACAACCAGTCCTGAGAACAAGAGCCGCATCCTCAGAGCGGGACAGAGAACAACCAGCAGCAGCCAGACGGACGACACAATGATGGCATGCATGGTGATGAAGAGGCAGCGGAGCCCTCTCACGCGCCCCCCTTAGTGCCTCCGTCTGCTCAACGGCGGCGCTCACACAGGCCTGCTCCTGCGTTGAGGACTCCTTATTTTGAAAAGGGGTTTACGAACCTTTTTAACTGCTTTTTGTATGTTTCATCCAGGGATGTTTCCAGAAAAGTCTTCGGAGGCATTCTGGATACAAAGCACAGCGTCGTTCTCTGTTTCGTCAGGTCTTCGTCGGAGTAAAGGGACGGCGAGTCCGCTGGTACCTCACTGAGCAGAGTGTGTTCCTTGGCAACCCGCTTCCACACATAAACAGCCACCGACACGTTGTCCAGCACCTGGTTTATCCTTCACCTGTGACTTCCTTGTGATCCCGTCCGTATCTCACCATCACGCACGTTTCACTTCTGGTTATCCGCCATGCTTCCACCTAATGTGACATGAAAAAAGTTTCCCGCGGTTACTAAACTTTCTGGAGTCGTTTTTTCCGATTATTTTGACAGCACCATTTGGAATGGCAGCATTGCAGTAAATGAATCCAGGACATCAATGATCAGATCACATCATTCTTCTGACCTGTAATTTCCCGTCAGTCTCCAGTGGGGACCCCGACACACTAACGTTACACAGCGGGGATAATTTAAGTATAAAATGAGGGTTGAACACTTTATCTGATTACTTTTCTGAACAACCTCCCTAATCACTCCTCCATTTGTTTTGCAGCAGCCTTCAGTTTCCGCGCAGGGGCAAAGGTTGCGGCCGACGGGTTGCGGTCGAGGGTGTGAGGGGCGTTGGCCTGTTTGTCCATTCAGTCTTTGAGCTCCCGCAGCAGGGAGAGTTTCCGATCGAGTTTCACTTTCCTGCTAATTGCTAACCTCAAACATCTCGACCTCAGCGAGTCTGGGGGAGTCGGCTGCATCCAGCGTCATTAAGGGGGGGTGGGGGGGGGCTTGGGGCGACAGGAGCTCCTAACACGGACCCGGCCTCAGGGGCCCACAGTAAAATAAACAACAGGTCAGTTATATCCTGGATTCCTTCAGTAGAAGTTCTCACTGAGGGAATATTTGTAGGAGAAATCTTTCTGCACTTTAAAGTTTCTTCTTGAGCTTGAAGTTTCATTACGGGTTGTAATCTCCAGATAAATTCTAGGCAGGCGGATAAATCTCCGGGGCCCCCAGGGCAAAAGTGAGCTGTGGGCCCCTCTCAAAATAACCTACGAATAACGACATTATACTTCTCATTATAGCCTGAATGATGCTAGTTAATCTGATAACGATACATCGGTCGATTTCTTCTAACATAAACACACAAACTTGTTTTTTAAAGGATTTTGAAGAATTGAAGAAAAATGTACCTGAATTTATGATTCCCTGTTAATCTACATCAATTGTTTGCTAACTAGTAACATCTGAAAACTAATGTTAGCGAAACATTAGCTAACTAACTAGATAATTAACTTAAGAGTCATCGATATTTAGTAGAGTTTTCACTAAGGACGAGTCAGCATGCTAACCTCACTGGATGTGTTCTGCACCCTTTACATAAAGCACCCGTTTGTCAGCACTTTAGTTTCACTGTGAATTCCTGTAGATCGCTTCTCACCATAAGCAGCGTTTATTTTTATCCGCATGTACCACCTAATGGACATGAAGTGGTACTAAACTCTGAGTATTCCGATTATTGTTGACAGAATGCAGCATTAAGCAGTTATAAATGATCCAGGACAACCAATTGATCAGATCAAAGTCAAACTCTTCCTCTAATTGCATGGCCTCCAGGTGGCGGACCCCGACACTAAAGGTTACACAGAGGAGATACCTATTTAGTATAAAAAGGGTTGAAACTTTATTTGATTACTTATTCTGAAACAAACCTCCCGAGAGATTTCATCTCTCCATAACCATTGTTTTGGCAGCAGCCTTCAGTTCCAGCGTGAGGTCAAGGTGGGGAGGGCCGTGAGGGGGTGTGAAAAAAAAGGGGGCGTTGCTGTTTGTCCATTCAGTCTTTTGAGCTCCCGCAGCAGAGAGAGTTTTCCCCCGATCGAGTTTCACTTCCTGTAATTGCTAACGCTAAACATCTGACCTGTCAGCAGTCTGGGAGTCCGGTCCATCCAGGTCCATTTAAGGGGGGGGGGGGGGGGGGGGCGACAGAGCTCTAACAGGGGCCTCAGGGGGCCCACCAGAAAAATAAACAACAGGTCAATTAATAGCCTGGATTCCTTCAAGTAGAAGTTCCTCACTGAGGGAATATTTGTAGGAGAATCTTTCTGCAACTTTAAAGTTTCTTCTTGAGTTGAATTTCGTTACGGGTTGTTAATCTCCAGATAAAAGCTAGTTAGCTGTTAGCCGATAGTTAGCACTTCACTTTAGGCCTCCTCTGCTGTAAATCTGTTGTTATTTGGAAGATTAAAAAAAGAGATTTGCACATTCTAGCAGGGCCGGATAAATCTCCGGGGCCCAGGGCAAAAGTGAGCTGTGGGCCCCTACTTGCCCCCATTTAGCAAAATAACCTACTGAAAGGACGACATTAATACTCTCCATTATAGCCTGAATGATGCTAGTTAATCTGATAACGATACATCGGTCGATTTCTTCTAACCATAAACACACAAACTTGTTTTTTAAAGGATTTTGAAGAATGAAGAAAAATTATCTGAAATTTATGATTCCCCCCTGTTAATCTACATCAATTGTTTGCTAACTAAGTAACATCTGAAAGCCTAATGTTAGCGAAACAATTAGCTAACTACTAAGATAATTACTTAATAATATTTTTTATTACGACGTTGTTAGTCAGAAGGAATTTACAGTTTAAAAGCTGTAAAAAAATAAAATAAAACTGTAAAAATAAACAAAACCCAAATTTTGAAATCCACATTAATGTTTCCTTCAAAATAAAATATTAGATCATCAACATTAACTGCCATATTGTCACATCT